AATTTTTCCACGAGTAGTTGTAAATTGGCTGTGTCCGCGGGAGGAGGTGAGTTCAGAGTCTGCCTACGCCGCCATCTTGACTTCTCTCATAAAAAGCATTTAAAAGCATTCAACATTAGTTGATGGTACAACTTCTCACTCAGCTAAGTAGGAATAGAAGGAAATTCCCCGAATCTGATAAAGGGCAACTACAAAAATCCTAAAGTGACATTAGAATTGTGGTAAAATGTTGAATATTCTCTCGCAGTGGTCAGGAATAAGACAAAGATGTTTGTTCTCATCTCTTCCCTTCAACAATTTACTCGAGGTCTTACTCAGTGCAAGAGGAAAAGAAAATAAACAAAAAATCAAAATTAAAATGGACCAGTAGAAATAAAATCTTACATTTTCTATGATACAGTTGCTTACAAAATAATAGCTAGAATGAATAAGGCAACTTAGTACAGTTTCAGAGGATAAAATAAATATACAAAAATCAAGTGCATTTCTTTACACTTACAGCAAAAAAAATGGAAAATGTAAGTTTGAAAAATTGCATTTTTAATATTAAAAACACAAAATAGGAATAAATTTTTTAGAACTTTTTAGAATTTTTTAGAACACAAAACATTACTGGTGAAAATAGCAGCAGAAATAAATAATTGTATAGATATATTATATTTACAGATTAAACACTCAATATGGTTAAGATGTCAATTCTCCCTAATTTATCTTTCATTATACAAGCCATCCCTTTCATTGTACAACCAGATATTCGATAGAACTTGATTAGTATTCCCTGAAATTTCTATGGTAATGAAAAGACCAGAATAACTAAAACAATCTTGAAAAGGAAGACAGTAATTGGAGAATATATATATCAGAATTCAAGACTTATTTTAAAGCTCTAGATATCAAGTCAATATGGCAGGGCTAAGGAGAGATAAATGGAAAAATGGTCTGAGAAGAAAGTCCAGAAATAAATCAACATTTCCAAGTCAACTGGTTTTCATTTCAACATTTTTTCCATATGTATTGCTGGAACAACTAGCTATATATATAACAAAGAACACCAACCCCTATGTTACATCGTCTTCAAAAATTAATGTACGATTGATAATATACCCATATATAAATGCTAAAACTGTACAGCTTCTAGAAGAAAATGTAGAACATGTGTACTTTACTGCCTATAAATATCACTTCTTTTTCTTAAAGAACTAAAAATATGTTAAACTGTAGATAGTGATTTGTTTTTACATTGGTATAAAACTACTTTCTGTATATTCTAGGCTTGAGGAAATCGGTAAAAATATTGAGGAGAGCGAGTCAAGGTGCCCTGTACTTAGAGCACAGAAATACAGATGTGAAAAGTGGAAAACTGGAATGAACCCTATTCTATTCAATCAAAATTAGTGGTGTCAACATGACTCAAAAGTTTTCGAGATTAATATAGATAAACAAATGATAAATAGATGACTAGATAGACAGATACATACCAAGATAGACAGATAGACAGACAAATAGACAGATAGATGGTTGATTGATACATAACAGTCATAGACAGGCATAGGCAGATGTAGGTGTAATGTAAGGAATTAGAAGCAATGGTGTTCTAATAGTAATGAGCACCAGATGTTAGTCTAAAACCACCAAGTTTCTGGGTGGTTTGTTACATAGCTGACTAGTGTACATCTTACAAATCACTACGTAGAAACAGTGTTTTGGTTAATATCTAAATTACCTTCCAGCTTGAAACTTACTTGTAACAATAATTAGGTAAAATTTTTAAAAGACAGAAAGATACTACTTTCACAAGTTAAGAAGAAATAGAATAAAATTTTGAAAACATTACAAATAAGAGTTTACCTGCACAGTTTGCTTCAGGATCCCATTTTCCATTTATACAGACTGAGTGCTTGGATTTTCCTTTACATTTGTAAGTTATGTTGTCGCCATGATTAAATTCATTCTTATCTGATAGGTTTGTCTCATGCGGCCATATCTTTGGTAACTTACACTTCTCAAGTTCATCTGTTGCTATAAAGTGAAAATGTTTCCTTGAAAAGACCAATTATAAGAATCAAAGCAAATAGTGCAATAAGATAGCCATAGAGTCAATGGTATAATGAAATTAGAATGCACACCTACAGATTCCACCAAGAAATTTATTCCCCATCATATTGCATAAGATGGGCTATTTTGTGTGAACGTAAGTCCTGTGTACAGTCTTTGAAGTTTCAGAGAAAATATCCATTATTCAGACATTGTGCAGTTTGGGGATGGGAAGAGCATAAGAGGATCACTTTTTGGATGATCTGTACAGCGAACAGTCATGCCATGACTGAATTTTGTCCCATAGTTGAAATCTGTGCAAATGCTCACATTCATTAATTTCTTTATCTCAAGCATCTCTACATCATTTTTATTCCACAATCTTAAAACATTAAAATAACAACAATTATCTGTGAAACTAGAATATATGAAGTTGTTAGTTTAAATATATTTTTTCAAGAAAGGTAATGTAATATCATAAGAAAAGTACATTTCAGATGTATTGTATAGAATGTGAATATTTAGGCAGATATTTAAAGAGACAGATAATTGGAATAAAAAATTGGGTGCTTCAAGTCACAGCCTATTTTCTATATATATTCTTAGAATTTTTGTTAATTTTTGTTAATTGAAGCAGATGTTTGGAGTACGTTAGAGTGGAAAGTTGAGAGTTTTCATGCCTAACATTACCATGGCTTTTTCCCCATGGGAAATAAGGTGAGATCATTTGTGGAGATAGAAGAGGACAGAGATGAGGTTTGGTCTTGAAGGACTGGCAATACCTGTGACAGGAATGTGTTTAGAAAGATGTAAGGATTAAGAAGTGACCAAATTTATTGATTCTTTTAACAAAATCCTAATGAATATTTCTATATGTCAGCCAGACTTTTGGGTGTTGAGAATACGTCAGTGATCAAAATAGCTATGAATTCCTGCTCTAATGGAGCAGAGGCTCAGTTCTACCTTCTACTTGGAATAATCAGTGACTAGAAACCTGATGAATAAGTAAGACTGGACATCCAGGGATCCCTTTGAATGTCGGACCCAAGAAAACTCCAGGAAAGAACTCATTCCAAAGGAAAAATGAAAGAGGACTGCAGGATTCTCCCAGTTATGAAAGACTTAGTCATCCAAAGGTTGGGATGATTCACTTACAGAGTGCAGGGCATCAATCAGATTTGTTTCCTGGCCCAAATCCTACTGCCTCCGATGCCTTAGAGGGCTTGTGGCCCACCCACCCTCCAGCACATTAACCTCTTTTGCTGCATTTGAAACAGAATGAGAAATTATCATTGTTAGAAGCTCTGGGATAGGCAAGATTCCTATAGGAGTATAGCAAGTGGGTATTTTCTCAACTCTTTTTCCTTGTTTTCCAGGGTCTAAAAGAAAGTGCCACAGAAAAACAAAAATGGTATTTGTGCAAGTATAGTTATATTTTCCTGGTAATTACTACTCGTACTTTAATCATATAAATATCTTTAAGCAAAATGTAGCTTCACACTAATAAAGATACACAATGTTAATATCAGAGACAAAAAGATTCATGAAATTCTATTGCTAATTTATATTTGTCCTCTGTACACACAACGAATTATCAACAACAAACATTTGGATTCATTGTAATTTAAGACCTGACATTTTCAAGAATATCTCTCAGTTTCAAAAATATGGTTGTGAATACTGTTTTTACAACAAAAATATTAACTTCTATTAAATGTCAATTTGAGAAGTGTATTCTCACCGATGCACTGAGGAAGTTGGGTCCAGGTTCCACGAAGACACATAACCGATCTGCGTCCAATCATTGTAAATGCTTCTCTGCAGTTGAACTCTACTGAATCTCCATGGTGATAGGGAGGGGCAGAAGGCTGGACATCGCCGTGATCAAGCTCAGGTACATCTCCACAGGTACTCTCCTCCTCTGTGAATTTTCACAAAAATGTGTTTATCTTGAAGATATAATTTATGTGTGTATGTGAAAACAAAAAGTTGATTTAAGTTTAAACATTAATATTTTTTATACATTACCAATACACACAGGCAAGGTTGTCCATTTTCCATCAACACACTGAATTTTGTTAGAACCCTTCAACAGAAATCTAGGATTGCAAACACATTCCACCTCTTCGCTGTGTCCATATTCCTCTTTCTGTGTTTCTTTAACTTCTCCATTGGGGAGTGGAGGGGGTGGACCACATGGCTGTACATGCTCTAGAGTAGAAATACTGTGTAATTAATGCTTAAATTGTCTATTTTTCAACTTAAAATTCCAGTAAAATGGAAAGAGGTTTTTCCTTAATTTACTTATTATTTCTTATATAATTTATTAGAGCATCCTTAAACAATGACCAAACAATGGAGTTTACACCAGATTCTTGTTTCCCAGGTCTATTACTTATACGATTGAACTAGCATATTGGAATTATATTTAAAACCAGAAAATAGGTTCAATAATCTAGATGTTGTAAAAGTGTATGCAAACCAGTTAATAAATATGGTTGTGTAAATTATAACAATATCCATATTCCACAGAAACATTTTATGAAAACTTTCTGAAAAAATACCACCATTTGGGGCAAGCATTTGACCAACATATTTCAGCTTTCATTAAACCATACACGAGATTGAATTTACTAGAAGCTCTTTGAATATTCTTTAGACATAGTCAACGAAACTTGTTGTCAGGGTCACGCTATCTAAAATGTCCAATATTAATGGTGGAATTGTAGGCAAAAGGAAAAGTAACAGAAGAAATCCCTCCAGTGTCAGACACCATGTATGTATCTATGGAGACTTCCACTACATATGACAAGAAACAACTGGAGATTAATTTCCCTAAGAAGGAAATCTGAAGTGTCTTCTATGGAACACATGTCCTTCACAGGTATACCTCTGGCTTAATGCATTAGATTATAGACACATTGGAAACAAACAGAAAATTAAGAGAGGAGAAAAAGTTGATATCCAATATTCCAATTCTTGTTTCAGCAATTGCGAGACATATATTCACCTTTACATATTGGAAAATCAGGGGACCATCCAAAGTGGTAGCACTGAATTGAATCTGCTCCAACTCTTGTACGTCTTTGTCTGCAGGAGAATTTCAGTACATCTCCAACTTTGTAAGTGTTTCTCCTGGGGTCAACATTTAATAAGCCGTCTATTTGGGGAATACTGCATTCTCTTTCTATAAAGAAGGTCAAATAATTTAATCAGAATATATAATCTTTGCCAAAGTAAATTTTATGTATGTCATGTAAAAATGAGGAGCTAGGAACTGCATATACAGAGGGGCACTAGACAAAATCCTCTTCCTTGAGAAATGCTACATGTTAGGTTTTATACACCCTCTAAATCCATATGAGACTCTTTGAGCAATATTACGGTATTGAACAGCAATATTTGTACCCAGAAAATTTATTTGTAAAGTCAACTTGCTTATACTAGATCTGATTTTATCACTGACATTTATAAAATTTAATTTTACATTTTCTGTACTCTCAAAACATAAAAGTACTCTCCCACGTTAAAAAAATTATCGCTGGGCAGGCCCAGTGGATTAGCAGTTAAATGTGCGTGCTCCGCTACTGGCGGCCTGGGTTCGGATCCCAGGCCCGCATTGACGCACTGCTTCTCCGGCCATGCTGAGGCCTAGTCCCACATGCAGCGGCTGGAGGGATGTGCAGCTATGACATACAACTATCTACTGGGGCTTTGGGGGGAACAAAAAGAGGGGGAGGATTGGCAATAGATGTTAGATCAGAGCCGGTCTCCCTCAGCAATAAAAGGAGGATTGGCATGGATATTAGCTCAGGGCTGATCTTCCTCAGAAAAAAAAAAAAAAAAAGTTGATATTGGACATAAAGAGAGAAAAACACTAAAAAAAAAACTAATGCTACAATTCTTAAATTGCACACCTAAAAGCCACTGGTAATTTTGTTTAAAGTAATTTGAGAACCAGAACACACAAAAGAGGCATTTCTAATGCATTTTAATTATACGAACATTAAAAACTGCTTAATTAATATTCTGTATGTTCAGAAATCAAATTGAAACTTGAAACAAAATGAAAAAACACATTCGAGGCCGCATAGCTGGGTGTATTCTATGTATTATGAATATTTCTATAATATACAAATATCTATTCTTATTAAACCTATAATTTATACTAGCTACTAATAAATTGTTAATTATTCTGATTCAAATAAGAAATGTGTAAAATATCCCTTAAAACTTGTGAAGTATGTGACATTGCTAACTATTACGAAAAATGCATTTTTCTTATTTAGAAATTTTCCATCTTGCAAATTAATTAATAAAATTAAAAATTAATGTAAAAATTAGAGTCATACTAAAAAGAAATTTTTTACTAACTAAAACTTATAAAATTAGACATGTTAACATTTTTAAAACTAATGCCACAAAAAGAACTCAATAAATTTGCTTTTGTTTTTGTTTTAATGTTGAGTCTTCAAGTTGAGTTGAGAAGGTAACACAACAAAAACCACTTGGATTCCTCTCCTAAAATTCTATTCCAATCTTCTACATAGCAATTCTTTTATTTGTATGTGTCTTTGTTTGTATATTATCTGCTCATTTTACATAAATTATCCGTCTCATCACATTATGAAAAACACTGCCTTAACAACAACAACAACAGAGCTTGGCTGTTGACTATTTTATAACTGTTATATTTATATAAAGAAAATGACTTAAGAAATGTGATTTAAAGACTTGAATGGGCATACTCTGAATTAGAGATATTTGTCTTTTTTGAAATTCAAAATCCTAAATTCTAGCACTGATGCTTGCAAACGTGAGTATGAATTTTTTGCTCTGAAGTGTACATTTATTTCAGATTGCTGTAAACAGTGTTGGGCTTAAGTGGCTTATGACAGCAACAATTATTTGGAAATCCCTCCTCAAAGGAAAGAACACCCAGGATATTTGAAATAAACTCAGATATCAGCCAATCTGGTTGCACTTTTCTGCTACATGTTTGAGGGAAGTTATTTGAAAAGACTACTAAACTGTCATTTGTTCATTTGATATTTGGAGGCCTACACCGTGCTGGCAAATTCCGAGCAATGTGTTCACAAGGTCATAAGTTTTTATAAAATTTGCAATAGAAAGCCATGTTGGCCACATCAGTTTCCACTGCTGTCTCTGTCACTCCAACTTCTTCTCCTTCATGTTTCCTGTCATGTGGTGACGTTGCAAAGACCATGGGAATTATATAGTCATGATTTTGCATTCTTTTTTGAAGAAGGCCCCTCAAAATGTAAAAGCTTCTGGCTTCATAAAACCTGGATCTGCCTCTAATCCCGGAAAAGAAATTCATGATCATCTTGAAAGCTTTCCACTTTACTTAGAATAAAATCCAAACTCTTTATGATCCATCCTTTGCCTGCACTTCCAATGTCATCTTATATCTCTCCCCCCCTCTCAATACAGACTCCAGGCTTTATGATCTTTGAATTGTTTAAATAGCTCAAGTTCTTTGCTGCCTCAGCTGTGGACAGACCCCTATCTCTATCCTGAATGGTTGTCACCCTTTCTTTGCATAGATGCCTTCCTATATAAAGTAGATCCATCCATCCTCTCCTATTTTCAAAGTTCTTGGATTCTTTTGTTTCTTTGAACATAGTCATATATCAAATATATTTAAAACATTTTTATCATATGTTCATTATTTGCCTTAATTCATTGGTTTTTTCATACTGGAATGAAAGGTCTCAAAAGGCAGACCCATGTTTGCATTTTTCACCATTTTCTCCTAGCCTATTTCTAGCCCAGGATAGGTGTTTGCTGTCAGCGTGAATCAAATCACTGGGATCAAGACACTGCTAAGCAAGTCTACCTCAGCTCTATAATGAGCTCACTGTGTGTCTCTCACAAGTCTCTATTTGAAACCTTTGCTACTCTACCTAGTGTGCCCTCTCCTCCTTTCCCCATGCACCACTCAATCTCAGATGACTTTTTCTCGTATTTCAAAGGAAAATAGAAACCATCAGCTCCTGCTTCTTCCCAGCATTACATTTACATTATATTTACATTTTCCTTCCTTCCCCCTGTAAAAAGTTGGAAGTAGCCCCATCCCTGCCTAACCCTATTACTTCCACAGGAGCTCTGGTTCCCTTTCTCTCCCACCTTCACAGGGAACTATCCGCCTCATGTATTCCATGTCTCCCTGCTTCCCTCTCTACTGCATCCTCATCAGCATTCAGTCCACTCTCATGTCTCCCATCTTTAAAAAAAAATACTCCCTTGGGCTGGCCCGGTGGGGTAGTGGTTAAGTTCGTGCACTCTGCTTCAGCAGCCCAGGATTCGCAGGTTGCAGACCTACACACCGCTCATCAAGCCATGCTGCATGGTGTCCCCGATATAAAGTAGAGGAACATTGGCACAAATGTTAGCTCAAGGTCAATCTTCCTCAGCAAAAAAAGAAACAACAATACTCCCTTGAGTGTATAATTTCCTCTAGCAATATTCTGAATTTCCTATTCTGTGGCACAGTCAACCTTCCTGAAAGAATTTTGCCCACTTGCTGTATGAAATTTCTTACTAATCATGTTTCTTCAGTAAATTCTATTTAGGTTCTGCCTCATGTACTCCATCCAAAATTGTTTTTGCTACACTTATTATTGGCCTTGATGTAGCCAAATCCACCACATTTTTACAGTCTCCTAACTGGACATATCTACTGAATTAGAGATATTCACCACTCAATTTATCATAATAATGTAAGTAGATTATAATTCATTAGGTTTAGTTTTTGACAGATACTGTGGCAAGAGCTTTATAAGGATAATTTAGTCTAGTAATCAAAAAAATCCTTTGAAATATTATGACAATTGTAAATATTAAGACACTTTTCAGATAAGGAAGAGTGAAGAGATGTTCAAATAGGCGTGGTTGCTGACCTAAGATACATGCTTAGCGAGTGGTGGAGCGGGAAGTAGAACCCGGCCAGTCTGACTCCACACGCTTCACTACTAACCACTCCGTCTCTTTCCTTTGCCTTCAGTCATTTCTTCTCCTCACGTCTGTGACAGCGTTCACTAGTACAGGTTTTCTTCTGAGTCTCTGGGTCCTCCTTTTTTCTATCTACTTTGCCTTCTCTTCCTCTTCCCTGTGACACCTAAATGTTGGGAAGCTGCAGGGCTGAGTCCTGAGCTCTC